CTGACAGAATCCCTCCTTCCCGAGATAGACAAAAAAAAAATACAAGACGTAGGCTATTAGATCATTTTGCAGAGACGGTTTGTGGCATGCAATCGCCATCATATTCCAGAGCATATCTTTCGCACCAACTCAGACTTCTGGTTGGCAATACAAGACTGTGATCATGGCAGAGAGTCAAAGCATTTTCCCTCCAGCCAAACCTCCCATTTATCTGTGTTTCCAGATAATATGACAGCTCTGATCGGAGGTTAATGGCCAGTGGCATTTTAGTCTTTACTTTCACTTTTTTTCCTGTCATTAACCCTGCTAGAGACCTGTGATTGAGTCATTAGAATAGACACCACTGCTGAGACGATGCCGATTCATAAATACTTGGATGTTTGGCCACTTTGAAATATGTCGGACACAATCCAAATCATCCGTGGTTATCAGCAAATGTTCTGAAACATATTGTGAGGCTTGTGTGCCTGCCTGCATCCAGTCCCCTTCAAATGATTTTTCTTTTTTTGTGTCAAAGACGTCTGGTTCATCCTGCGTCACCGGGCCAACAACCAACAGGATTTGAGGGTGGGGTTGGGGTTCCTTCATGCTGTCATGTTGCGTATTCTTCTACGTCACATACCATCATCGCCTCTGTGTCCGAATGATGCGTTTGTGGACGTAGCTGTCACATGAGTCCCCACAGATGGATGCCCAGGCATTTTTGTGGTCCATTACCTTTTGTCTTTGAAGCTTGCATCAGAAAATATATGCATAAAATGACCAAAATATATACAATGCACAACATTTAAAACAACATTTTCAAGCCTGCAGTGTACAACCATTTATCATATTTTGCTCTTTCATCTCCCATGAGGCACCCTTGTCAGTCTGAGGACACCTCTGGGGGTACAAGCCAAAAAACAGTTAGTGCATCTGACCCTGAAAATAGAGGTCATACCTGCTTTACATATTTCCCTCAGACACAAGGCCATGAGAAATAGAGAGAAATACATCAACTTTAGTGTAGAAGCTCAGCCATATAGCTCTGGTTGACTACAGCCCTGCTCATGGATGTACCTAATATGTTTTGGCTGAGTGCAGCCATCTTGTTTCTTCGGGAATAAAATCACGCTCAAGGCAAATCATGACTGTGGCAGCATGATGCCCCCACCTCCCTCTCCACCCCCACTGGCTATATCGAAGGGGCTGTCTTCGCCCGAATGTGCTCAGAGGGGGGAGATGAGGTTTGGTTTATAGGGTCCTGTTTGCTGGATTCCCCCAGAATACATTATGCCCCCACACCCCCTCCTGCTTTTAAGCTTGCGAGACTATTATCCAGCCAGCCCCAGGAAGTTCTTATCAGTGGCAGCCAGATGGAGAGCGCGCCAGCAATACCTCAAGACTTGTTGATCGAGCAGCGCTGGCAGAAAGGCTGTCATTGTAGAGAGGTTCTGTGGTCTCAGATTGGTATCTTTGCTTTTTTTTCCTATTTTATAATTGCCAAGAGAAGTCTCATTAATGGCTATTATATCAATGGCTGGATGTATTTGTCAGTGTGGACAGCTTGAAGGGTTTAAAAGAACAGCAGGCAAGAAAGACTGACATGGCAAACATGACATTTTTGTCTGAGGAGGTTTGTTTAAGCATGTGTCTGTGTTTTCCTATCCATGTCTTTGGCTTAATGTGCATATTTAAAGACTATAATAAGACTCACCCTACATTGTAGTAGAAGCTTACTGCTGCTAACCCATCAGACCGAATCTAATCAGCCTCGGTAGGGCAAACTGTGCGTCGAGGGGTGTCTGCATGATGTGTCTGGCCACAAACAATAGAACATGACAAGAGTGAACTGGATACAACACTGTCCTCTAGTGCCTCTCACAACCAGCAGCTCCGTGGTGTGCTACACTGAAGCAACCCTGCTGTCATCCAGTGGTGTCATGCAGTAAATAAGCACGGGGATTAGACACTAGCTTGGAGAACAAAAAAAAAAAGGCCATGTGTGTTTGGCTGAGGAAGAAACTTCCTTGTTACTGTGCGTTAACGAAAACCGTTGTTGACCGCTCCATCGGCCATCTAATGCCAGTGCAGTAAAAGGACAAGAATAGGCATCCACCAGTACGCAGACTCCGGCCCCCACCTCAATTCTACCACAGGGGGAAATACCCATAATGCACCACTTGATGCTTTTGTATTGAATTGGCTTTGCATTGGTGCTCTGACCCACTTTTTTCAGCAGCGTGCAGGTTATTTTAAGATTTCATTAGCAAGAAGACCAAGGGCAAACGAAAGGTGAAGAGGCTCAGAGACACACTCAGACCAACTGTCTGTTCATTTTTATGAATTCAAATCAGTTTGAACCTGACTGTCCTGTTTCTGTGCAGCCTGCCTGCCACAGAAAGTGTTTAAATATAGGGCAAAATATGAGTAACTCTGATGACCACTGGTATGTTGTCTAGTCTTCTAGTTATAAAGATGTCATTTTTGAACAAGAAGAATACATAACTGAGTTTAAAGGTGCAAGTTGTAAGAGTTTAAAAACATTTAAAAATGAAGAAAAATTATCAACAGAATGTGCAGAAATAACAGTTTTGATGTTATGTCAAAATTGTCTATGTAGTGTGTTGCAGACTGAAGATGCTAACCAGCAAGCCTTGGCCCGTCCTATCTCGTAAGACTTCCTTTACACATGCTCTCTTAACTGTTGTAGTCTTATAAATAAAGTTAGCAGCTGTTCTTACATATTGCACCTTTAAAGGACCAGCATTTATTACCAGGATTTAGTTACTTCTAGTGGAGAATTTGCTGATTGCAGCAGGGGGAATCCAATGTTTAAATCCTTTTTTTTTTTTTTTTAAAGTAAACGCAACAAGATTTTGTCACTTATGCTAGCTGGTATACAATCTTTATGCTAAGCTAAGTAAACTAATAGTCCTCTGGCTCCAGCTTACCCTGGAACAAAGAGTGGAAATGGGAAAAGAGCTATAGCCTGGCTCAATCTAAAGCATTGACAGTATATATAAGGTCTAAAGGAAGAACATCTATTTACCAGCACCACTGAAGTGCAATAATTTGCATTTTGTGTTTATTTAATTTGTACGAAAACCAAAATGTGAAAAGGACACGTTGTCCACTTAAGGTAACTCTAGGAACTTACGACTGAGACTTGCTGTAACTGTACTTCATTTGTCCTTAAATAGAAACTGATAAATATAACAGCAATCATGAATGGAAAATAGGTAGGTAGATTTCTACTTAATGTAGAAGCAATTTAACAAGGCAGGAAAATGATACAGTTTTTTATATGTAATACTTAACATGCTGGCTACACAACTGGTTACTCAGTATCTTCCAATAATCTCAGTAATTGTGAAAAAGTGACATCACACTTTTTCAAACCAAGAACTGTTTTCCACCAGAGAGCATAAAATCAAAAGTCTTAGCTCTTTTGCTCAATTACAAGCCTTGTAATCCTTTATATAATATGTCTGAGGCTTTTATTACTCAGCAGGTCTGGCACACACTGCAAGTATAACATCAAAACATAACCCCATTTGAACTCACCAGTTCAAACACATTTTACTCGAACCATTAAGAGGGTGATTGGTGGTTATTACAAGCTACTCTCTGTGAGAACGTCCAGATGCTCTTTTTTTGTCAAGGTCAGGATCAAAGTTGGACAGGGAGAGAGTAGGAGGGGGTTGATTTTGTACTCATCAGGCACTTGGAACCCCCGCAATGACGTGGCACCTGCAACCAGGAAAGACGCAAAATGGAGTCCCAGCTGGCCCCACACCAGTGTGAGGTAAAAGGCCGGGGGAGGATGAGAGAATGCTTCAGGCTCGATTAGGCCCACATCCTATCTCCATCTTCAGCTCTGAGCTCCATCACCCCGAGTCATTAGCACCAAATTCACAGCTGCCACTCTGGAGTATAAAGCAGGTGGAGGTTGCATTTTTATTGCCTTTTTTAGGGACATGGTGACAAACAGGGGTGGTGTTCAAAAGTCAAATTGTCAAATACCTCGAGAACATCCTGTACCTTACTCTCAAGTGTCCTTTTTCATTTCAGGATTTGCAAAAAAACCTGCCTCCATGTCTCATGCCGATGACAAGGAGTGCAGAAGTGGCATTTGTATGCCTCAGGAGGTGGGAAGAGATGAGATACACCCAGCCATTTCTACCTCACGCTGCTGAGCAGACCAGCATGCACCTGTCCCCTCTGGCTGTGAACAGGCTGAGAGGAACTTTAGGTCACTCGTGGCCGCCTCTCCTGGCATGAAATGTTTCTACACTGTCCAAAAACTCAACTAGATTTTAAGGTGAAATGATGAGACAGAAAGAAAAGCAAGGATGAAGAAGAGATGGAGAAGTGAAAGGTAATGAGAAACGACTGAATGAGTTCATAATAGAAGAGGGCGGGGGGTTAGGGGGAGGGTACAGAGAGATTGGGATTTGAGAGTGAAAGATAAGCAGATAGCCCAGCGTGTGAATGGGAGTGACAGTGACAGAGTCCCATGCAAAGATAAACAGCCTGGGTGCAGCCCCTGTAATGGCTTTGCACGAGTAATTTGTCACTCCATGTGAAAAGCAAACAGCAGGGAAGGCAATGGCAACACTTTGCACTGACACTTACCATCGCCCAAGGATGTCTTACCAGACTTTCCCATCTGTCTACACAACTGGTGTTGCCCATTCCTCTGGTCAAGAGAGTAAAAATATGCCACTGAGAGCAGCACCAAATTTAATACTATGTACAGCTGTAATAAATTCCATTTCATTTGTTGTCAATCACATTTCAGCTTCCACAAGACAGAAGTTCTATGATTTGGTGTTAATGTGCCGCTGACGTTTTACTTCTTTACCATCCCTTGGCCTGGGATCAAGTCATTCTGAAAGGTTACATATTCAATAGCTCAATTAAAGATCATGTACAGTAGTATCATGTGATAGTGTCTTGATTCAAGACATTCAAAAACATCCTAGGATAAAAACAAAAGGCAACATAACTCAGTGAAATCTCTGTATGAACAAACAGCGTCTTCATTTTCATTTGTGGGCAGTTCAAAAACATTAACACACTTTGCAGTTTTTAAATCGCTCGGTTCAAATACAGCATAATGAATCACAGAATAATGAATAATGTCAACAAAATTATTTTCACAAAGTCTATGAACATAAAGTTACACCTCCAACAAAAACTGGGAGCTGGAAAATTGAAAGTGACTATCCACCATTTTGGAGTAAATGACAAGAGGAGTGATTTGTAAACATACATCTAATATGTGAGCACTGCCATCTTGTGGGTGTTTCTAACACTACACACACTCCTGCTCTTAAATAATAATAATAAAAAAAAAAACATAATTTCCCTTAGTGAAAGCAGCTGTGAACAATTTTTATGGCTATCAAGTACAAAATATACATCCTAAATGTGCATATGTGGAGACTGAAAATAATTAACATTGTTGTTCTCTCTGAGACATAAATCAACTTTAAGAATTGCAAAAAAATGCTACATGAAACATAAATCCAGCAGTTCAGGTTGGGGGAAAAAAACAAACATAAGGATATAATTCTATGAAGGCATTATGTTTCACCCGTTCCCCATGCAATAAAATGATCATCAACCTATTAAAATGCTCTCCGCAGCGCCCCCCAGCTGCTGCAGGTGAGAATGCAACACCCGTGGCCTTTTCCCTGAGATGGGCAGCAGCTCGCCGTTAGCTTTCATGTGGTCTATTCTCCTGGACAGGTCAGCGTCGCTGTCAATGACCAAAGTGCACCTTTGGGCGTAGCTGACCAGAGTCTCTTCTCCTTGGCGAAACATGCCCACCAAGGGGACCATGTCTTTGCCGGCCAGGTGGAGCTCTGCAATCGACGCTGTGTTGGCGATGGTGTTCCGGTCGATTCCCAGGTGGCGGAAGGCTTCACTCATGCTTTTCTTCTTGATGAAGGCTGACAGGACTTGTTTGTAGCGGTGGATGACATACTGGACACCGGTGGCTGGTGAAATGAGTGATAAGGCAATTAATATATTACAGGTATTGACTAGAATTTTCAAATGAAAAATGTTCGAAAAAGTCAAATGTGTATAGCTTTGCAAGTGTTCAGTGAATACATTCATTAAAGTAGTTTTACTTTCTCATTCCCTTTCTAGGGTTCTTCAGCAGGTTTATCCACCTCTAGGCTTTATTTGTTATAACACACACACTGAAAAAGACAGCAGCCAGCATAACACCCTGACCTTAACTTAACGTTAACACTTTTTTCCTTTATAATGACAAGGCGTGATTATTACCTCTCTTCCTGCTGTAGTCTTTCGCTTTCTTTGATCTTTTCTTGTCCTTATGGTGTTTCTTCCTTCTGTGTTCGCTCGAGGCCGCTGAAACTTCAGAGGAGTCTGACGCTTCAGAGCCGCTGTCACTGCTGTCAGAGGCACTACAAGAAGCTCTTTCTCTCTTCCGAGATTTGTTTTCTGAGTGCTGCACTTTGCTGGGTTTCGGAGCTGTGTAAAAACAACACAAATGGCATGAATAAGAGCGTCTAATTAGTGTTGATATAATTGAGTCAAACACTGTCTACAGCTTCACTTCAGACACAAACCTTCAGTCAGTGGACTCGGTGATGCAAAGGTTGGCATGGAGCGGTTACTCGTGAGGTTTTCGATCTGGCTCCTCAGGAACTTGCGGTCCTGCATCAGGTCCTCCACCTGTCTCTCCAGCGCTGCAATGCGCTCCTGTTTGCTCTCCAGCATGCACTGGAGCTTGGTGATGGTCAACAGCACCCTCGGGGGCAGGCTTTCTACATGTGAGGCGGCTAAAGGAAGACAAGAGAGCCATGGTGAACGCATGTCAAATTTCTGTTGTAAAAAAGGAACTGCACACCGCATAAGTATTCCATTAATAACATTAATAAAATATTATGATTTTGACTGCCAAAGGGAAGCAATGTAATTGCTTTATGGCATAAAACAGTAAGTGGTCGCTTTTCTTGTAATTCAAATAACATTTTTTTTATTTTTTATGGTGATTCAAGTAAAAGACCAAAAGCCCAATCAATAAATAACCAGAATTATTTTAACCGCAGGCTTTAAGACACAATCTACCAACCACCTGGAACATTGTCTTATTTGTCATAAAAATGAATGTAACAATGGAATATTGATGTTTTAAGATGATCCCAGTGCAAAGTAATCACATAAAAGCAGCAGATTCTTTATTAAAGTGCTCTTACCAGACATGGCACTGCTGGGCGTGTTGTCCTGAACTGCATCAGCTGAGCCTCCCGTTTGAAAGTTCTCCCACTTGATGATGCGGAGTTCATCTTGTTCCTGCTTCAGCCAGGCCGGAGAGGTGAGCCTGTCTTTGCACCTCACAGAGCTGGAGTCGATCTCTACGCAGGGGGAGTAACCTGACGGCTCCTGCTGCCACACGGACGACATCTCTTCAAGCCTGGGAGAGGACCAGAGGCGGGTTATAGTACATTCTGAGTATTACACACTGTGCAGATCGACATATGTCAAAACAGCCGCTCCTACTATTTTCTTTTTAACAATAAAAATGACTAAATGGTCATTTTTAGCAAGTTATAGCTAAACATCCAGCCTGTGACCTCCTCTCTTTTGCATTTCTATTTCTATGAGAGTAGTTATCTCATAATAAATAGTTATCTTAAAATGAAGATCTCGTAATTATGAGATCTTGTTATGAAATATGGATAAAATTCTGACATGCAGAGATACATAATGTAAAACTAAAACGTGGCTCGTGATACGTTAATGTATGAGTAACGTTTCTGTTGGAATGTATTTGATGCTTGAATTACTGCACGTGATTTAATGCATCATGTTACATGTCACTGGATATTAACATAATAAAGGCAGTATGACTTGGTATGATTATTCATCATGCAATGAACCATCAAGTCATGAACATGCCATATAAACAAGCTGGAGACCTATAGAAATATATAGCAGATATTTTGAGACAAAAAGCTGTTTTTTGTGTTCACATTACACAGGTTTGGTGAAATGAACATGTGACTTAAAGGACCAGTGTGTAGGATTTTGTAGTTTAGCTCGATTATGGAATAAAAAACACTGAAACATAATTATTTAACATGATTACTCATTTAATTTGGAAACCATCATGCATATAATAAACAGTATTTGTTTTCAGTGTGGACCATGGCACACTTGCATACACACTGATAAAAGAAGGTGGCCATATGCGGCCCAGACCACCTCTGAATGCGGTCTGACCGATAAGATCTCAATGCATCCTCAATGCGTCTTGGGTGCATTCACACCCGTACTGTGCCAGGTGTAAACAGGGCCTTGATTTGGGCTTTTTAAGCAAGCTGTAAAGGAACGGGGTGCGGTTGATTTATATGAGACTATATGTAATCTCAATCTTAATCGTAAATATATTACACTTGCACAGATATTTACAAATGGGTTTCATTGTGTCAAAACATTTAAATACGTACTTACATATTTTTCTTAATTAAAAACATTTATTGAGACGATTAGAAGATATATAAATATATATTCTGTCATATGTAAACAGCAGCTCTCAGAATTTACAGTTAACTACCGATGTGGAAAAATAATATTCATAAACAAAAGACTGCAGTCAAGAATCATCTAATGCATAGATGATTCATGATTCAAAGCGTTTGCAGGCTATGTAATGTAGCCTACTTGAAGCTTTAGCAGAAGCTAACTGATGCATATCTAGATACATGAACAGTACACTAATTAATGCAAGGACTGCAGCTTTCTTTCATCATTATAATAACAGGATTTATATGCAGCATGTTCATGTCCTCCTGCAATTAAATGAACACATCTGTTGAACAGTTACTGTGGTTAACTGTTCATTAATGATTGACCAACAACCCTTGCTGCATCTATGTGAGTTTATTACTGCAGTGTACAATGCTTTTACCTTTGTACTGTATAACTTAATAACGGAAAACCAAGCCAACAGCAACCCAATCATTTATTAACCCCGAGTCACATGAGTTCATGATATATGACGCATTAATACTTTCATTAGAACACGATAAATCATGCATTAGTTAAGCATTAATTAAAAATGAGCACTTTTTTTTTTTTTGCTTATATCTGCATTTTATTTAAGAAGCTTCAGAATCGATGTGAACAAAGAAATGTTGGTTTCAGTCCTGATTTCCATTTTCTGATACATACTTACTGTATATGGTCCACATGTGAGTCAGAATTAGACGATGACGTATATGATGTAGAGAAACTAACACTTTTTCTAGTAATTTAAGTCAAGTCTAGTTTATTTGACTAATATGTCTCAATGCGCCAAAATCTTTCCCCAGAAAACTCCACCTCTTCCATAACACTAGGAATTTATTATTTATTACAAAAATCTCTCAGATGCTTTATGTGTGGATGGTTTTTTTTAAAGCTCACAGGATAATTCACAGAAACCAAACAGCTGTTTCTGCAGGTGAACATGGCCGACCGTTTGAACTTCGGTGGCATCAAATATCAGAGGTTGCAGCATGAATAGACACGCACCCTGTAATTTACAAGACTTTGAACTGTGCACCTTCTGTTGAAACGTGACAAACTCTCGTGGTAGGACAGTATACGAAAAGGGATTATGAAGAAAGACACTATTTTTCACACCATATAATAAAGCTACAAAACACAAGTTATGCATGATTGATGAATTAATGAAGGATATATCATGAGAAATGATCATTCCACTGTGCGTTTATGTGATTAGTTAACACTTGATGGATCATCAACTAATGGCTGTTAACTAACAGTTACTTGATGCATTGATTTATAGGAGAACAATATCTATCCTCATAGAAATACAAAGCTTTTTTTACCAAACTGGTGGTCAGATGCAAACATCTACATGTTGCTGCCCAACCCAACGGTCGCTATTTGTGTCTTATTTCCAAGCTAGGGGGTTAGAGTTTTATCTTATTATCATATTCCTTTGTGTTTTTTCACAGAAGTGGCGGGCAGCAGTGGAGGACAATGGTGCGCTAAAACCGAAAACATCCAATTTGCCAGTCAGGAGAGAAAAGCACAGACATGTCTAAGCATATACGTCAACATTTACGTTTTAAATGCAAAGAAGTGAGAGAGAAAGATCGAGATTATTTATGTTGATGGTTGGGTCAAAATCAAAGCAGCAGATGCAGAGATAACCTGACTTTTAGTCTCTCAAACTCAAAAACACTGGATCCTACATTTCCCATAATGCAAGTCAATAACATCTTTAGACACCTATGGCTTCTAAATGCCCATCATGCCCTCACCAAACTTTCATCTTATGACATATTTAGGGGTTATTTGTTCAGTAACGAGCTACAGAAGACATTTGTGTGTGAAATGGTAAAATAAGTGGAGTGTCCCTTTAACTAATCACACAAACACATATTGACTTATTATTTCTTAATGGTGAGCAACATGAATTCACGATACACTGATGATGCATTAAATCAGAATAGGTCAAGCATGTGGCAACCTTTATTAGAAAGTGGGTTGCCTAATATGGTGACTGGAGTAAAATACAAAAGACAGGTGGTGCATTCAGGTGCTTGACTATATTTGAAAAGGTAGCAGGACAGATTAGTTTGTCTACTTGTTTTTTTTTTTAGTTTGTTTGTTTGTTTGTTTTGGTTGCAGGAAGTGGACATCACTGTTTTTCTTCATGTTTCCATGGAGATGATGATGGACTCTTTAACATGTGCAAGCTGCAGCAGCTCAACACAAGTAAGGAGTGAGTGCTGCAGTGATTAATCTGCCTCCAACACCTGACACAACGTGTTCACATGCGAATTACATGTTACAGTCTTCAGGGCTACCACATGGGGTAAAAAAAATATGAATAAATGCAACGACAAAGTCAGCAGGCCTTGTATCTCCATCCTTATTAATTCATCACACAGGTTACTACAGGAATATAACAGTGTTTTAACTGGAAAAGAGGCACATTTTGCATGGCCCAAGTTATAAACCTCACACAGCACACAATGCATAATGTTCAATAGACTATGGGCCAACCATTTCTCCTTGCAGTGGTTTTAATTAGCTAGCTCCTACCAAGATGGATGCTAATGACTGTAATTACCAGCAAAAAAAGGGGAGAAAAGGAGCAACAAAGCCGGGGAAGCACACAGGACAACCTACCTTCAGGAGGGTCCAGCGGATGAAAGCGGTGCTGGAGATGTTCCTGTGTTTGAGTCGCTGTGCGCCGGAATGTCACTTCGGGTAAAATGCCCCGTTTTTTCAAAAAATATATAAACAGAGACGAGTGAAGAAATGCGAGACTACAACACGCCTGTCAGAGAGAGGGGCGGTGCCACAGAGCCCCGACGCCGCTGATACATTACGCTGCCTTCAGGGGCTGCGATGGAAAGTCGTACTTCTCGAATCTGACTTAAAGGAACATGTTGTTTATCGTCAGTGGTTCCCAACCGGGGGTCGGGACCCCCCACAAGCTTCATGTGGGGGTTGCGAGGCCTTCTTGATTTTAAGGCATGCTCAAAAACTCTTTTTGGTTCACTTCTGTGAGGAAAAGCAGAGTGAATGTAAAAAAGTAAATTATCTAATAGAACAATGGCCAAGCGTCTGGGGCAAGAAAACACTGAATTTGCCAAAAGAGAAGCTTATTAAGTTTGTATGATTGGTAAAAATAATTTTAAAAAGACATAATCAACAAAATAGACACAGAGAATTGTATAAAAAGTTCCCTAAAAAGGAGAAAATCTGCTCAATATGCATCCAAATGACATGTTTTACACAAACTTCTGCAGTTACTGAGTTCACTGTTTCGGTTCACTGTACAGTTTTGAATATAATATGCAATATCTATAAAATATGTCACTGAGTCAGGGGTCATTAGTTTACTAAATGATATAAAAGGGGTCCCTCAAGGAAAAAGGTTGGAAACCACTGTTTTCTATCACCGCACCCTACCCTGTACATTGATGTCACACTGTGTTGTCATGTTGGGCTACTGTGCCCTCGAGTGAGTTGTGTGTAAATAATATTTTAAAATTAAATAAACAACAGATACTTAAACGGGGCGGATGTGAAGATCTTTACATTCACAGGGTAGCAAGACAGTGGTATAAAGACTGTAAGGTGTGGCAGGATTATATGCTGATTTAATCGCAAACAATCACATATATCAATATTTGCTTGGAAAAGCCTCCAAAAGAAGATATTTGAACTCAAAACTTAGTAAAGCATTGAATAGAAGTATCTAAAGGTGGCAATAGAAATCAAGATATTTCCAGATCTTCAGACATTTTTCCAAATACATGTCTTTTTTCATTGAACTTAAGCCCTAAATATGGCCATAACATAATTAATTTCCATTTCCTAACATATTATTATGTTAGGACTTAATGTAAACTTATGTGTGAAATTTGTTTGACACCAAACTAGTTGCCAAGCATTGTTTAGCTGACAGCTTTTTAAAAAGATGTTTTGAAAATCCTTAAAGCAATTTAAGAATCTGTATGATACGGTGTTAAATATAATTCACACCCACTTTTTTGTAAACATAATATTGGAAAAACGCTTAGTATGAAGGCAATCTGCACCCCATTATCCTTTACTTTCCTTAAATAGATAATTCCAATTTAGTTATTTGGGGCATTTTTAAATGAGGCACAAAGCTCCTACTAATTATGACCAGAGGGCTGTTAAAATATATTTCTTCTTTTTATTCTTTCTCACTTTGTGGGTCTGCAGTAACTTGCTAATTAAATTTCCGACAGTACGTGAAGGCAGCAAAACAGCGGCGACAAGCTTGAAGGGGGCGTGTCCTTCTGTAGACTGGAGCGATAGAAAGATCATCCCCATTCACATCCACAGTCTTCAGCGGTAGTGGCAGTGGTACACACTGGACAGCCACTGAAGATGAGGTTGTCATGGAAATCACATTGACCTGCTACAGGCTGAGAGCGTCATGTGTTGCCATGACAACTGCATCATTTAACGATTCTGTGGCAGCTGCTAAAAAATTGTGACTTCACAAAAACTTCAGCTGTCTACAGTGAACAGCAATGGAGAAAAGAAGTACTCAGATTTACTCAAGTGAAAGTAGTACAAATACAAAAGTATTAGCTTTTCAGAATAAAGTATATTAATGTGTGTGTCACTTTAATGTTGCGGCCAGTAAAGGTGGGGCATTTTAAAAATTACTTTATATATTTTTGTGTAGCTTCATCTAATAATATATCATATTTTATTTGTATATTGTATATTCTATTGATAATTTGTATTTATTTGTATGTTCTGAATCGGTAAAGTAGCTAGAAACTAAAAAAGTATTATATTAGTGGAGTAAAATGGAATTAATCAAGTAAAGTAGTATCTCAAAATTGTACTCTTTGTTACTGGAGACAGTGATTTTACAATTTTATGTAGGCTACATAGGTTATATCAGGACTTTGATTTTTTTTATATAATCAATAAGCCATTCACAATGCACTACAACAACTCCTTAGTTATCAAAGTTAGTAATTCTGTTTTGCAAATGACTAAAATCCCTTGGAAGCCAATGCATGCGTTTACATGCGCATTAGTATCCTGGTTTTGATCTTATTTGGGAGATGATGTTTACATGGAACATGAGAAACCTGGTTATTCAGATCCCAGCCCTGCACACACGGTTATTTAACTATCCAGGTTTCTGATCATCTGCGTGGAGCTGATTTCTCACCACCTCAGTCACTCTATAATCTGTACCAACAAACAATGTTCAGAAATATGGATCAGGTGTTTACATGCCACAGTATCCTGGTTTCTATCGGAGCACTCCAGGTTTTCTCAAAACTGGGATACTCCACAAACCAGGATATGCATTACTTGGTCAGAGAATCAAACACAGTCAAAGGTTGAATAAAGCAGACATGGTGATGTTACAGGGAACTTTAATTGCAGTTACACTAAACTTCTTTGGCTACAGAGATACAAACACTAGTCCCATGACCCAACTGATGCCCTGGTTGATGGACTGTATCTACTCAGCAAAATGTTTACAATAGTGGTCATTTGAGCAAATCTCAGCTGCCTTATAGAGACACACACATAGAGACATCAGACAGTCCAGGTGTTAAATCTTACAGGTTTCTTCTCATATACCTTCTGGCCTACCTGAAACAGTAAACTAAATAATGTTATATATTAAACATTCTACTGTGTTAGTCATAAAATACAAAAAATATATGATAAGATGAGGTGTAATTTGGATTTGTAAAGTTTTTCTAGTTGTAGTACAGGATAAAAATGCAACATACTGTAAATCAATATATAGTTTCTTTCAATAAGCAACTGATAAAATATATATTCTCTTCTGCAAATCCTTTTGTGAGTAAAATCCAGACAAATCCATTCACATAACATTGCATATCCATCATGATACAAACTAATATTCCTTCATTACAAACTCTCACATTCCTTCATTTATAGGGACAAACTTCAAGCCATATGGAGTGATTGCATTAGTTAAAACAGCAGTGAAGTAACAGTCACTGAGTTAGGGGACTGGAGGGTGAAAGATAACGGCCCGGGGGGGAAAAAAATCAAACGTGCATACAGAATAATTTGATCTAAAATCTGTAACACTTATAAAATGGTAATAATGTAATGCTGTTAATAACATTGGTAATTGCAGCAGCAGAAAGACTCTGTAGCCGAGTTTTTCCCCCAGTGTACAAACATGTCTTGTGTTGACAATGTGATTATCCTACCAAGCCTCAACCCACCTGATCAAATCACACTGTGTAATTACATCAGTGTGACTGAGTTTTCTCCTGGAAATGTATAAATCTTGGTGCCTGTTTACAGTGACTTTAACTGTGTCAATGCTGGTAAAGGTGTTAAGAAGTGGAGCTACAAACTGACTAAGAAATGGGCAGTAACCCACTGAAACTGTAGTTTCACAGACAGATGAGTAAATCCAGCTCAATGCAAATTTTGTAATTCAGGTCTGTGGAAAAAAAGTTTAAAAAGAGAGCCATCCAAATTTACGGAAAAACTCAGAGTTTGGACAAGATATGAGCCAGGTGAAATATTTGATCACTTCAACCCTCCTGCTCCCTACATAATGTCACATGAAGAGACTGAGTAGTATTAGTTTGTTAGACAGAAAACAGCAGTGCCCTCAGTACAAACATACTCTGCTGTCTCTGCCTCTGTTGTCCACGTCTGCTCTGCTTTGAAACTCTTTGACTCTCAGTGGCAGATGGCCAGTAGGAGGCGTTTAAAGTCACCACTGCACTCGTCCTTCAGGGCGTCCTTCAGAGACACGTCATACTTCTCCAGATACATGTCTTTGATGGTCTCCAAATCATACTGTGGACAACAAGAAAAAGAAAAAAAGACTTAGTACACTTCAATCAATTTGTACCAGCGGTCAAGCTTTGTGAACTTGAAAAAGTAAGCATGTGTCAATCAGCGTAGTGCAGTAATCTGGTTTCTTAAAAGTAGTGTTTCTATATTCTCTGACAACAAAAATAAGGCCAGGATGCTTCAGATATTGACCAGATTTGACAGTAACCAGGTTATTACAGTGCAAGTGAACATGTTGACTGTCCGTAACCTGATTTCTCCCGGTATGCTGGTAGTCAAGAAATTAATAATTGAGAACATAACTTAAATTTGTGCTTAAGTATGAGGTCATATCTGTAGAATAACATCACAACCTCCTATGCTGATATTTGTTGCAGAGAACAAAGAGGTTTTAGTTTCCTCCAATGATATCTCATCTTAAAAAAACACAAAAAACTAAACAAAAACCAACTCTGAATATTTGGCTCCACCTGCTGATCTTTAAGTGCAATTACCTCGGAGCGACACACGATGATGCGGATGAGGGTGTCCTCATCAGTTCCCATTCCTTTCATCGCGTTGTGCAGACGTCTGGCAAAGTAGAGCTGAGGGTTCTTAGCAACTCTTACTGAAGAGAGGAAAGACAGACTTTCATTAAATCCTACTGCCATCATATCATTTTCACTAATAATAGGAAACATGTCACAAACAATACAACACTTTCATTAACGTATAGCATTGTCTATACGGTGTTATTCCTCAATCAGATACACACAACTCACTTCCTAAAAGTGGCTCTATTGATATTTCACATTCTAACCATGTGATTTTTAATGTGGCCTAATGGGAGCCATCATTATTCTTTATGTGTCAGTTTTGTCTTACTAAAACTGATTCTAGTTTCAGGAAAATTGCTAGAAAATGTTCATTCATTCATACTAACCCAAAGCAATGTAGCATTTTTTCAGTGTCCCAGAAGTCTCACTCTGAATGGCATCCAGGATTTCAGTTCCAGAGAGCTA